AACCTTCCTTCCGAGGAGTGGCTGGTGGGTTTGAACCGCCAGCCTTCTGGTTAGCAGGCAAGTGCCTTAGGCACTATGCTACCAGAGCTCCTCCTGTGATGTTAGTAGGTTGCAAATGGTTTGCCTGCATTCTAGTTTTTCTTTTTTCCTCAGAGGAAAAAGAGCAAAAGCATAAGCATTGTTTTATTCAAACCTCATTTATATTTACTAATAAGAATCATTGCTAGTGGTGATTCCAAAATTACATATACCCAGTTTCAAGAATGTATAATTATGAGTCTTCTTATGTGCCATGTATATGTGTCTATATTTGAGCTAAAGATGTGAAAGATACTTGCTAATGTACATAGTAGAAAAGTAACTAACATAATAATTTATTGTAATTCAAAGTTAATTTTTTTTAAAAAACAAGGGATTTTTTTTTTTTCAAACCAAAGATTACAAATAAAATGAGTGTAAAACCCTGTAGGTTCTGATCTTTTACACTACTCACAGTTATTTAGAGCATCTAATTAGGAGACAAGGAGCTGGTGGTGCACTGCCTAAGGCATTTGGCTGCTAACCAAAAGATTGGCAGTTCAAACCCACCAGATGTTCTGTGGGAGGAAGATGAGGCAATCTACTTCTATAAAGATTTACAGCCTTGGAAACCCAATGGAGGTCTTGAGTTGGAATTGGCTCAATGGCAGTGGGGTAATTAGGAGATAGAATTTTCTTAAGCAAGTTTATATTATTATCAGATAAATCAATAAATCAGTTAGATAGATAGATAGATAGATAGATAGATGATAGATAGATGGTAGGTAGGTAGGTAGATAGACAGATTGACAGATAGATAAACACACTGCTTGACTCATGGATATGTCCACTGGCTAATTCTGTCACCCTGGAAAAATCAATTACTTTCTTTAATTCTCCATTTCTGCCTTGTAGAACTCCAATTATGTTGCTGTAAAGATTAAATTGGGTTGTTGTTGTTGTTGTTAAGTGCCGTCGAGTCATTTCCGACTCATAGCGACCCCACGCACAGCAGAACGAAACACTGCCCGATCCCGCACCAGCCCCACAATCCCTGCTATACTTGAGCCCATCATTGCAGCCACCGTGTCAATCCAACTAAATTGGGTATTTCGTATAAAACAAGTAGAAGGACTGGTACAGAGTTTTGATTAAATTAATTTTAGCCATTGTTATTATTACAATTATTTTAATATTTAGAAGATATTATATATTTAACTATAAAATAATGTTTAAACTAAACACATATGTCTTATTCTTAATTAGAAATTTATATATCTCTATATAACTATATCTATACATTCCCAATTCTGAGCAACTGGCTTGATCTCAGTTTGTTGGTCCAATTGGATGATAGTATCATGTGGCTATGGTGTGAATAAAATAGACTTTGCTGTAAGATTATCTTTGAAATTTAGAAAAGCAGATTTCAAAAATTGAGATGTTGTTGTTGTTAGATGCCATTGAGTTGATTCCAACTCAAAGCAACCCTATATGAAACACTGTCTGGTCCTGCACCATCCTCAGAATCCTTGCTATGCTTGAGCCCATCATTGCAGCCACTGTGTGAATCCATCTCATTGAGAGCCCTTTTTCTCTGACTCTCCACTTTACCAAGCATGATACCATTCTCCAGAGACTAGTCCCTCTGAGCACATGACCAAAGTAGGTGAGATGATGTCTGACCACTCTTGTTTCTAAATGGTATTCTGGCTGCACTTATTCCAATAGAGATATGTTCATTCTTTTGGCAGTCCATGGCATTTTCAGTATTCTTTGCCAATGCCACAATTTGAAGACATCAATTCTTCTTTGTTCTTAAAACAGATCAAATAAAGTTGTAGTGAATTCTTTTTAAAATAACATGTCTTCAGAAGCTTTTATTAACCTTTGATTGTGAATGCCTTTACAAATCTGAAGTAAACTAAGAATTCTTTGCACATGTATGACTCAAAATATTTTCAAAGGATTTCAGAAGATTTATTAATCTGTTGAAGTATATTTGTAGGCCAACAGAGGGACTGAGGGGCTCCAAAAATGTCATTCAGACTATGTGTGGATTTAGCTAATCCTGTGAAAAATCAACGGGAGGTAGATCATGATCATGGTGGAATTCAGATTTTAAAAGACAGTTGTGCCTTCATCAGAACATAGTTACATACATAACTCTGAAAATTACTATTCTTCCCTATGAGTTGTAGTCTTTGACAGAGTGGAGAACCTGTGAGACCAGTGTAGCAAACATGGTCTCTGAAGGTGCCATGGCTATCTCTGAGTGATTTTATCAGAATTGGCTCACTTCTCTGTCCACACAAGAAGTGTAGGTAATGGGAGCCCAAAAACAGTCAGAAAGACTGGAATGCCAGAATGAACTGAAACCTAACATGTTCAGACATTAAATGGAGCCATTTAACTATTTGGAACAAGAAGAAATAAGGGGTAAGATAAGGGAATCACATGCCTTATCTATGCCTTTAATCTCTTCTTGAAAGAGATTAAAAAAGAAATACTCCATAACCATTTTCCTTTTTTTTTTTTTTTTCCCCTATATCAAGGAGCTCTGATGGCTTAGTGCCTAAGGCACTTGACTGTTAACCAGAAGGCTGGTGGTTCAAATCTACCAGCCACTCCTTGGAAGAAAGACTGGGCAATCTACTTCCGTAGAGATACCTCCCCAGAAATCCAAGGAGGGGTTGCTATGAGTCGAGAACGACTCAATGACAGTGAGCCTGGTTTTTGGTTTGGTATATCAAGGAAAATTTTATATTTAAGTGGAAAAGTTAAGGAGTTAGTATCAAAAATAGGAAAACTAAAGTCTAAGAACATCAGAATGAAAAGACCTTTAGAAATTGCATGTTTTCTGCTAAAAGATTTTGAAGATGAGGTCACAGAATCATGCTTAGTGTGTTGGAAAATTTATGCAGTGTGGAGAAAAGGCCAATTGGCAAAGGGGAAAAACTTTCCACAAAGTTTAGAATACTTATGAAGAGTGTGTCAATTTCCAGTCAATTCTAGAGTGACATCATATTATAGTTTAACGAAAGCATGGAGATTATCAAAAGCCACCATATGTTGCACCAAAAATATACCAGGTAGGCAGACATGTAAGCTGAACATTTATACAAAGTATGTACACTTCTTAGAACAATCAACCATGGTGACCAAAAGAGCAGTATTTGCACAGGAAAATAGCTCAGAGGAAAGGAATGCATAGGAAAGAAGGACACAGGGAAAGAGTAATCAGAAAGAGAATGTAGGAAGACAGCTGTTACATTATGGGCACTGCAATCCTTGTCATGAAAAAAAATGTCTATGAACTGTTGTACAGAAAATGAATTTGCTCTGCAAACTTTCATTCAAATCACAAGAAAAAATAAAAAACAAACAAACAAACATGTAAACCAATTTAATTTCCTTCTTTAAAAAAAAAAAATTAAAGAAAGACTAGAGTTTCTAATATATTGATATTAGCAAAAGTTATGAATAAATATTTGAACAGGTAACTAATGAAAATGTAATTAAAAAAAAAAAAAAAGGATTTCTAGTGAGTGGAAAGGAGCTCTGGTAGCATACTGCCTAAGGCACTTGACTGCTAACCAGAAGGCTGGTGGTTCAAACCCATCAGCCACTCCTCTGAAGGAAGGTTGGGCAATCTACTTCCGTAGTGATACTGCCTCCGAAACCCAAGGAGGGGTCACTATGAGTCGAGTCCGACTGGTCGGCACATAACAACAACCACAACAGTGAGTGGAAAAGCACACTCAAACATGTTTCATTTATATACCAATGGGAACTCTCTGGTAGTATCATTTAAGATAAGGTCTTAGTCTTTGATGATTTTTCTTTTTTTTTTTTTTTTTCTTAAATAATGCTTTGATCTAATAAGTAAATATTTAAATAGCATAACCAGTATGGAATCCATACTTAATTAGTAACAAAATACAGATTCTCAACTATCTTAAATGGAGCAGAGACCAGAGTCCAGGCATTAATTGGTCCCTCCGGCACAAATTGGGAACATCCAAGCTTGATATCAGGCTAGTGAGGCCACTATATTCTTAGATTGTATTAATGGATACAGAGATACTGATCAAAAGGTGGTGGTGGTGATCGTGCTGTGCTTTGCACTAGGCAGATCACATCAGATGCTTCATGAGAGCTGCTACTGAAACTCCCCTGACCCCACATCCCAACATTTAACATAGTTGGTTGAGTATCATGTCATACAAAGAGCAATGAAAAGACTTGGCTATGTTTGGTCTTTTATAGTGGAGCCATTTGGGGACCACAGCTATTTAAAGGACTGTCACAAAGAAAAGAAAAGCAAGTTGTCACCAATTGTTACAGAATATAGAGTATGAATCAATAGTTTCAATTCAAAAAGCTTTTTGGTTCACTCAAAGGATGAAATTTACAGCAATTAGAGCCTAAAAACTTGCTCTCAATTTGCTACTAATGCTTATATTTCTGTTTTAAAAATAATTTCAATACTATTATTTCATTTCCTTCTCAAAGCAGCCATGTGATTAGCACTTGATTTACACTCACAAAGGGACAGTGAGAGAGTGAGAGTATGGTGTGAGTGAACATGTGGGGGATTTAATTTCTTTTCCTAGTGTTCTATTTTAGACCTAGTACCAAAAACCATCAAAAAGATTGAATTGTGTTCCCACATATATATGTTGTCTATGCTGTAGCTAGGAGCTCTGGTAACAACAACAACGTGCTGTGGCTATAATTGTGTTAAGGAATGGGTAGTCTTTGTTACGGTAATGAGACAGGATAAGTGTAGGGTATGTTTTAAGTCAATCTCTTTCGAGATATAAAAGAGATTAAACAAGTAAGCAAAAGTGAAAGAGATGAGGAAGAGAGATGCCAAACCACATGATCACCCAGGAGCAGAAGCTCAAAAGAGAACAGGACTTTCCTCCAGAGCCAATAGAGGGAGGAAGCCTTTCTGTAGGATCAGAACCCTGAATTCAGACTGTTGTTGTTGTTACGTGCCATCGAGTCAGACCCGACTCATATCAACCCCTCCTTGGATTTCCAAGGCAGTATCACTATGGAAGTAGATTGCCCCATCTTCCTTCCGAGGAGTGGCTGGTGGGTTTGAACCGCCAGCCTTCTGATTAGCAGTCAAGTGCCTTAGGCACTATGCTACCAGAGCTCCCAAATTCAGACTACTACCCTCCTAAACTGTGAGAAAATAACTTTGTGTTTGTTAAAGCCACCCACTTGTGATATTTCTGTTATAGCTACACTAGATAACTAAGGTACATAACTTGCTGGTAATTGTTTTAATTATTGCTCTTTTAGAGCAATTGCTTTAAAGTTTTCATGTCTGTCTTATGAGCTCTAAAATCATTTTCTTTATGTTCAAATTATGAGGCAGATTGCTATTGAGTAAAATTTCTAAAAACTGTAAGATTTCTGTATAATATCATAATATATATATATAGTGAAACTTGTGAGAGTCAGAGCTTGACAAGACAGTCTTCTTTTTCCAGGTCTCAAAACTTTTCTATTCATTTTAGTGGAAAATATTTGAATTTTCCTTCTCTGACAGGTTTCTGCCTTACACAGTTTCTGGCTTTCACAGGTTTCCCTGTATTACATTTTATGAAGTGTGAGAATTTATCTGTTTGATCCAGGGACACAATGCAATGTCATAGAACTCATATGCAAAAGAAATAAACTAAAAAATAGCTAAAGCTTACCATTTCTTATCATTTTAAAATCACATGATTTTCAGAACTAAATAGCATATTAGGAAAATCTCAAACATTTAGAAGATATTCAGGGATCATGGGTCAAATAAATAAATCATTATAAGAGCAGTGAAAAGTTTATCATGAGTGTTCAGAGAACTTGTGAGGACTCTGTATATCTGGGAGTCTTATAAGAAAAGTCATTATTTAAAATCAGTGACTTCTACACTAGTATTTTGTATCATAATTCAAAGTGCCTGTTTCACTTAATGGGGAACAGGGTACAATGACAGAAACTGAAGGAAGTTGATCATGAATGAAACCTCGCTCTAAGATTAAGGAGAAAGAAAGAAGCTAGATGGGTGATTTCTTTAGATTTTTTTTTTTTTCCCAAGTGTATTTTCCTTTTATCTTTTTCTTTTTTTTTTTAAACATTTTATTGTGGTTTGAGTGAAAGTTTACATGGCAAATTAGTTTTCCATTCAACAATATATACACATTTTGTTTCATGATATTAGTTGCAATTCTCTCAATGTAACAGCACTCTTCCCACTTGCTCCCTGGGTTCCCCATTTCCATTAATCCTTATTTCCTGTTCCTTCCTACCTTCCAAACTTTGTTTTTGAACAGATGATTTTGGTCTCATATGGTTGATTTTTTCTGATTAGTATGATCATCATGGTTGCTACTGCTCACTTCATAGACTTACCTATTTGACTGAAAGGTGGTGGTTACTAGGGATGGAAGGGGAAGGGAGGGAAAATCACTAACTAGAGAGCAGATATTTATTAACTAGGGTGAAGGGAAAGGCAATATACAAAATGGGAGAGATCAGTACAACATGACCAAGGTAAAGGAAGACACTGGGGGATTCACAAGAGTAAAAGGCAACAATGACATATACTGTTACATACACACTCCTGCAGTAACAGTAATAAAGAACCATAACCTATAAATGAATACATAGCTAGATATGAATGCTGAACAAGTGTGGGATGGCAAATGGGAGTACACCCATGAGTACATATGGGTTTGGCAGAGGATATTTCTATGTATATATTTGTATGCTGCAAATAAATGCATGTATATTGTAGAGTATACAGGGGGAAAATTATGAAAACATGTTAGCCATAACCAAACACTTTGAGAGACTGAGTCACTGGGTTTGCGGTTTAGGGCCATAGTCTTGGGGGACATCTAGGTCAGTTGGCATAACATAGTACACAAGGACAATGTTCTATATCCTACTATGTTGAGTAGTGACTGAGATCTTAAAAGTTTGCAAGCAGCCATCTGAAATGTAAACATTGGTCTTTCCTCATCTGGAGCAAAGAAAAATGAAGAAAATCAAAGACTTATGGAAACAATTTGTCCAAATGACTAACAGTCTACTCGAATCACAGCGTCCATTAACCTGAGACCAAAATAACTAGATGGAGCTTGGGTATCACTTATGACCACTCTGATGGGGATCACAATAGAAAGTCCCAGACAGAGTAGGCTAAAAACATAGAACAATACTGAAAATCATAAAAAAGAGCTTATTGTTGTTATGTGCTATCTCGTCAGCCCCGACTCATAGTGACTCTTCCTTGGATTTCCGAGGCAGTATCACTATGGAAGTAGATTGCCCAACCTTCCTTCCGAGGAGTGGCTGGTGGGTTTGAAACACCAGCCTTCTGGTTAGCAGTCAAGTGCCTTAGG